TACCCGCCCCAGCGGGCGCGCCACGGGAGAGGCCATTCCGGCCCCCACTGGATCGGACGTGAATGCCACCTCAGAGAGAGAGAGAGAGAGTCTGGGCTCAGGAAGGGGAAGGGCGGTGGGATGGGGAGAGTTGGGGCGCAGAGAGGAGTGGCTGCGATTGGGGAGGGGAGGGGCGGCGGGATGCTGCGAGTGGGGAGGGGAGGGGCGGCGGATGCTGCGAGTGGGAGTGAAGAGGGGCGGCGGGATGTTGCGTGTGCGAGTGGGGAGAGGAGGGGCTGCGAGTGGGGAGCTGGGAACCCTAATTCCTGCATATATACGAGCCCGGTAGGAGGACAGATGTGGGTCTTTTCTCGGTTGTGGGTTGGGCAACTATTTTTGGAGGCGGGCCTTATAGGGTGCCCGCCTCCGAAAAATGCATTCATGGAGGCGGGATTCTTAAAAGGCCCGCCTCGGTTAAGTTTAATAACCGAGGCGGTTGTTTTAGGCCAACCGTCTCGGTTAATGTATTAACCGAGGCGGATGCATTAGGGCAACCGCCTCGATTAATAAGCATTAACCGCGGCGGTTACGTTACAGTGTCTGTTTCGGTTAAGTATTAACCGAGGCGATCGCTGGCCCGGCTGCCCTACCTCGAGTAACCGAGGCGGGCAACCAGGCCGCCTGCCTCGGAGGCCATTTTGGAAATGCCTGCGCAAAAGATTTTGTGTAGTAGTGAAAAAATATTTCTTTATAAATTCGTTTAAAGTTAGAGAAATCTATAATTTAGAATAGAGTGAGTAGCTTTTATTTGGTTAGTTGCCAAAATTCAGAAGTGACTAGTCTATGCATGTGCACACCAATATCAAGCCATGTTGAATTGGAAGTTTTGTCATCCTATATGCATGTGCACACCAATATCAAGCCATGTTGACTTGAAGTTTCTGCCATGTTTGCTTGGCTGATAAACCAAAGCTGAAAGTACTGCTGGCTAATTTGTTGTGAGAGAAAAATACTATTCATTGGCTGAAAAAGTATGGCTTAAATCAAGTCAAGCGTGTTAGTCAACCAGTAATGGTGTTAGGCTGATTGCAGAGTGACATCAGTTGTGCCTTCTTTCAGTGGTGTGCTTTTGTTGTGCTTCATTGAGTGCGGGTTGTGTTGATGTCTCAACCCAACTGTCTGATGTAGTCTGTGTTGTGTTTAGGGTGTGTTTGGATTTAGTGACTAAAATTTAGCATGTGTCATATGAGGGTGTCACATGGGGTGTTCGAATACTAATAAAAAAACAAATTACAGAATCCGTCAGTACTCCACGAGACGAATTTATTAAGCCTAATTAATCCATCATTAGCATATGTTTACTGTAGCACCACATTGTCAAATCATGGACTAATTAGACTTAAAAGATTCATCTCGCAAAATAGTCGCAAACTATGTAATTAATTTCGTAATTAGTCTATATTTAATACTTCATACATATGTCAAACATCCGATGAGACACCGACTAAACACCCCTTTAATTGTTCTCATTGTTGCTTTCGATGTCGTGGTCATACTGCTCCGTTATATTTCTGTTGTTTGACCCGGTCTGTATTCTAATATAATTGGCAACTTATTTTAAACGAAATCAAAACATATGCAAAATCTGGACGAGGTCATTGCCGCCCTAACTTTGGCTCCCTCCAAATTTGGCTGCAACCAGCATTATATGTTCGCCAAAACTGGGACGCTACCAGTTCAAAAAAAACACTTTATTTTTAAACGTTAAAGTAATCACTTCGAAGTTTGAACTACGGAGCACATGCAAACAGGTGGCATCCATGCTCGCAAGGGCTCCCGCTCCTCCCTGTTGCAAGGAGCAGAGACACTACAGCTACTATTTTTGGCATTTGAGCGCTGTTTATTTTGAAGCACGATTAAAACCATATAGTTCCAAGTTCCAACCGAGTTTTACAAACTGAATTACGTGTTACTAGCGATCACTCCCTCCAGTTTCCTAAAGAATATCGTTTTGAGGTTGTCTAAAGTCAAACATTTTAAACTTTGATTATAAATAAATTCTTTTAGTTTGAGTTTGAAAACATGAAAGTGATATAAGTAGATTCATCTCAAAATGTAGTTTCATAAAAGTATATATTTATATTTTATATTTTATAGAAAAAGTAATGGTCAAAGTTGTTTTTTGAAACCGTGTCGCTGTCCAAAACGACATTCTTTACGAAAAACGGAGGGAGTACACGGTTGCGTGACTTGCCATGTTGAAACTTGAACTGTATTTGCAGCACAAACAATTGCAAAACACATTTGGTACACCATATATATACAAGATGGAACAATCTCAAGAAAGTAAACAACATCAAGCAGCTGATCGTCACCAACATATAAGTGGGAGATCCCAAGTGGGTTTAGTTTAATCATCATTGCCATAGTTTAAAAGAATATTAATGGACACAAATTAAATACACCATGAATTTTTCCCTCGAGAAAGAAAAGTACACGATGAAATCACATACACGTGCGCTCGCTCATACAGGAGACGACCGGAGCGGCCCCTAACACAGTTCTGACCTGACAATCTGACGACATAGAATGTCCGGTTCACGTAGACGTAGAAGAAGACAAGAAGGCAGCCTAGAGCACGAGCACGGCCGCGACCGCGAGCACGGCCAGCGCGAGGCGCGCCTGGACGTTGGACGCGGGGCCGGACGGCGGCGGAGCCACCGGAGACACGGCGTTGTCGTCAGCGGCGAGGACGTCGATCCTGACCTTCATGCCGTTGAGGCAGTGCGCGCCGACGCTGCAGACGAACCACCGCCGGCCGGGGCTGTCGAGCGCGACCTGGTCCCGGCCGGTGGCCAGCACCTTGGCGGCCTCCGGCGTGCTGCACGCCGCGAAATCGGCGCCGCTGACCTCCACCACGGTGTGGCTGGGTTTGTTGTACTTGAACACTGCAATTATGCACGCGCAAAGGCAACCAACTTGATCAGGTCCTCAGTCTCTCTGGTATCTCTTATCGCCGTATCGGAGAACGAGTTTTTTTTGGCACAAGAAGCATGATCGATGTCGATGAGGATGCATGCTGAGCTGAGTGCTTAGTTACCTAGCGTGTCGCCGACCTTGAACTGCTTGGTCTGGGCCCATGCGGTGTAGTTGAAGCCGAGCGTCCAGCCCTTGTCGTCGCCCACCCAGTGCTCCGTGGCGGCGTCGAGCGCCGGTAGGAAGGCCACGGCGACGGCGACGGCGAGCAGGAGCATCTGCTTTGAAGCCATTATTAGGCGTTTCAGAGCTAGGCCGGCAGCTAGCTAGCTAGCGTACTCTTTCCACTCGACTTTGAGCTTTCAGGAATCAGAATGCCGCTAACTAGCTAGCTTGCGCTCTGGTTCTTGGCTCCGGCAGGCCTGGCAAGGAAAGCTGCATCTGCATGTGTATATATAGATAGACGGGGAGCAGGGCTGAGCAAGAAGCAGTCAGGACTCAGTACTAGTAGCTTGGCCAGGCCAGAGGGTCGTCTCCGTCTCCTAGAGAGCGGGGCGGGGGCATGCCATGCATTGCAGCTGGAGCAGGCCGGTGGCGGCATCCATGGAGCTGCCGGTGTGGCGCCAAATGTTACGACACGACGCTCTGTCGACTTCTGAGCCTGCGTGAACAAGCACGCTTCAGTATCATCGCCAGATGTCGGCGCTTGTGCCGCCGCCGAGACCAAGTCTCCCTCCAGACGTGACAGTGTGATACTGACACTCCTGTGCGCGAGAGCACGGCCACGGTCCACCCAGCCCGAATGCCCGACCCCGTGGCGACGCGCACACGACTTTGCCCGCGCTCGCTAGACAAGACTTGGCTGTGAGTTCAGTTGCCACGGAGACTCGGGTTCTGCGGGAATCACAGCCGCCCAATCCTTGGCGTTTGGCAGGGACAAAGTGCAGGCCGGGCGGCCGGCTGTGTCCGTTGCATTTGCATGATTAGGATTAGGAACGTGCGGGGTGCCAGTGGTAGAAAAGAAAAGATTGGATCATCAACCAATAATTGCGCGCAATACCAAGGAGATGCTTCACCAATCACCCACACTAACGCCGTCGATCTGCTGGTATTACTAGACTAGTCGAATTTGCGATTGGTAGGTTTTTTTTAGTGGATGGCGATTGGTAGATGGCATGGTAGTTAAGGTTGAAAACAGACGGAAAAAATCTCGTTCCGACCCGTTCTGTTTTCTACATTCTTCCATCCGTTTTCGTATTTGTGGGATCCCGTGGAAACGGGAAAGGGGTTTTCCGTCTGTTTTCGTGAAATCCCGTTTTTATCCAGAATTGACCCATATTTATTCCGTTTTTCATCCCGTTTTCAATCTATGTGAGATATGTCTAGAAATTGATATATTCATAAACCTACTAATCACAAATTATGCATGTTAACATGTTAACACATGGTATACTAGTGAATATTGGACCGATAATTTCATACGTGTATATTATTTTGTGACTTTGTTCATGTATACTCAAGAATATTTGATCATGTTATTCTAACTTATTTTTCCGGCTCTCCGTTCGTATTTGTCAGTTTCCATATTCCCGTATATCTTCATCCATTTTTAATTCCGTTTTTTTTCCGAACCCGATCCCACTTCCGCTAAAAATATAGAAACAGAAATGAGGGAGGAATTTTTCCGCCGTTTCCGTTCGTTTTCATCCCTAATGGTAGTAGGCAGCAACCCAAGCCCAAACCGGAACCCATGGGCCATGATGATCTGCAGCGCAATTTTGCTCAACGAGGAGAGTCGTCTCGTCGGTCGTCGCAATCAAGCAAAGCAGAGGAGAGCAGAGGAGAGGAGGCAAGGCGAGGACGGTTACGGTTACGATTGCGATTTCGACGGAGGGGGCGGGGCGTCATAGAGAAGAGAAACGGGCCCGTGCGCGTGCGCCCACTCAACAATTACACAAGCCCAAGCGGCGAAGCCCCCACAGCGCAGGCGTGTAGGCGTAGGCGACGCGCGGGCAAGTCAGGCAGGGCCGGGGGCGCAGGCAGGGATGTGCGAGGGGAGGCGGCCGGCGGACGCGAGCCGGGCGCGGTGGGCGGCGGCGGCGGAGCTGCGGCGGAGGGAGGCGGCGGCCGACGCGCAGCTGGCGGCGGCGCGGGCGCGCCTGGCCGAGGCGCTGGCGGAGCTGGAGCGGGCGCGGGCGCGCGCCGCCGAGCTGCAGCGGCGCCTCGAGCAGACCTACGGCAAGCGCCGCCGACTCGTCGAGGAGGCCCAAGGCCGGAGCCACGAGATCCGCGCGCACCTCCGCCACTACCAGGACCGGGATCGGGAGCAGGAGGAGCAGCAGCCTCCCGCCGGCGGCACTCCCTCCTCGTCCTCGTCCTCGCCCTCGTAGGTGTGTGCCGGCTCTCGATCGATCAGCTCTGCCGATTCTGCTGTTTTGCTCATCACACGCTGGGAATTACTGAATTAAGATGACGAACGCTTGCTGGCGGTGATTGACTGCTTCCCGTCTCTGATGATCGAGCAGCAGTAGCTGGCTGGTTCCTTTTCTCGATTCGTTCCCTATTTGCATCTGAATGATCGAACAGTAATGGCTAATAATAAATTACTTTTCCCCTTCCGATTGTTTTCTGCAGGGACAAGCGAGCTGGCGTTGGATGACCGGTGGTGCCAGCTGCTACTTCTCGCTTCTTTCGCAATTCCTCTTCTTATTACTTATTAGCTTGCCGCCATCTTGGCTATATGTACTGTAGCGCTCGTATATACACGAGTGTCTCTGACCTACAGAGCGTCAGAAAGTTGCTCAGTGACTGAATTGGATTGGGAGTTAGTTCTAGAAACATTCTAAATGCTACAGCCTACTCTGCGTTCCCTGCTGTGTTGACTGGTGACTGAATTCGTCACGACAACATAATCCTGACTCTCTCGGTCAGCAATCTCTCTCGAAGAAGAAAGAGGCTGGATGGAACAGTGCATCGTCCAACAATCGCATACAGTAGTCGTGGTCATGCTGAAAGGCAACATGCCCTCAATCGTAAGGAAAGAATATCCGTGACGCCGCGAGCCAACTCACAATCTTCATCTTTCACAAACGTCACCGCCAACAATCTGCAACACACGTCTTTAGCAAGTAGCTCACGCTCATACACTGTACGAGCCCGCTCATACAATGTACAGGCCCTTGTGTAAATCACTAAATCAGGGCACATTGGGCAGCTAATAAGCATGCCGAAGTGAAGTCAACTCATCAGATCAGCCTGAATCCTTACATTGAGTTCCGCCTGAAAAATTACAACCCCGCTGTCGTAAAGTCAACTCTACAGAGCTCTTGTATTTACGAGTTCCACGGATGCACAAAATCTGAGTTTTTTATAAGGTCTGCACTACAACGAATTCACTTTTAATATACTAGCTTATAGGGAGGAGCAAAGGGCAGCTCAAGTACTCGCTTGAATGGGCAGATACGGGATACAAGTCACCAAAGCATCTTCTTGATCCAGAATCGACCTGGTTTTTTCTACATCTGTTCTTCTCTGGTGTTGTAACAGGGCCCAGTTTCCTTCATATTGCACAATCACCATATCTTGTTCTTCAGCCAAAAGAGCATCAATACTACCCCAATGACAATGGCGACAGGAGCATACTTCCGAATCAATGCCTGGTATTTGAAAATTTTGCATGTCAACGAAATGATATGGTCAAAACAGTCAAGGTAACGCTGGAAGTGTAGGACATGCAATTCATAAAAACCCATGCATCTCAAATTCAAAATATTCTGAAACTTATAGTTCTAGCATGCAGGTGACAAAAAGCTGAGGCCACAACTTGTAACTTAATCCAACATTAAAATCACAGTATGCAACCAAACAATTGAATTATGTGAAAGGATAGGTTATAATAAAATCAACTATAGTTGAAACTACAAGGGCGGGCCTGGTGCAAGCGGTAGAGTCTTACCGCCTGTGACCGGAAGGTCCCGGGTTCGAGTCGGTCTCCTCGCATTGCACAAGCGAGGGTAAGGCTTGCCACTGACACCCTTCCCCAAACCCCGCACAGAGCGGGAGCTCTCTGCACTGGGTATGCCCTTTTTTTTTTAGTTGAAACTACAAATGAGGCTAGCACGATACTACTACTATCCAACAAGCACTGTATAGATTTGATATTCCATCTGGATTGATGAATAATTCTAAACTCAGCTCATCTGGCAAATGTAAACCATGAATTTTATGCAATTAAGCACGTGGATACCTGCCGGTTGAGGTCCTTTGCCTTATCTGCGTATATTCTTGTATCAGAAGTCAACCTGCTTGACATTTCACTGACCTCTGCATAAATGCATAGAATGAAAGTTGTTATTAATGCAGACAAACTTATGCAATGCGGTGAAAAGATGAAATACAAGTGGGGACCATCAGAAAATGGCAGTTTAAAATGCAACAAGTATTGAGGCTAATAAAGAAAACAAAAAAGAATGCTAAGGCCTTGAACAAGGCCATGGGGTGAATATATACTTCCTATAAAGAAAAGAAAAGAAGGCCAGTTTAAAGAAAAAGCACCTTGGTTATACTAATAATTTAATCTTTGGATTCATGTCACAAACAAGTATAGCAGTTTAATAACTTGCAAATAATGAAACGTTGGCAGAAAATGATTGAGATCTTACGGTCTAGCTTTTCACCAACACCAAGAACCTCTTGAACATTGCGAGTCATAATTTGATGCACCTCATAGAGCTCATCGTTCAGTTTTGCGAGGTTTCTTTGAGTTCTTGTATCCAAATACAATTTCTTAGTCTTCTGGATGAATGTATCTATAAACAGAAACAGGCATAAGTTCTCAAGCAGTAGAATTTGAAATGATAAATGAAAACAATGCTGTCAAGTGAACTCAGGAATCATACCAAACTTGATAAAAGCATATGGCCTTGCAGCAGTTTCAATTTGGTTTCCATTGACCCTCTCAAATTCATTTTTCAGATCTTCCAGGTACTGGAATGCAAGTTTCTTTGGATAAGAGCGGTCGCACATAGTCAGATAACATACTCGGCCCTCAATGATGTAGCTATACATTTGAATCAAGGCGCAACAATACGATCAATAAAGGATTAAAACAGGAGGGATTAAACCACGAGCATGATTAGCTGAGTGCTGATTGGTGTCTTTTAAATGTTTTTTAAACAAAGAATGATGAAACAGAAAATAAAATAAACCACTAATGAGAAAAGGTATGTAGTCTTGTTAATATAGACATTTCTGGATCCGTTGCAGGAAAACCATGCAGATCCCTTTGACGTATGAGGCCTTCTTTTATTTTGTTGAACTGCAGTCAGTTCTCCATTTCTATTTATGCTGACATACAAATATTTTGGTCTTCAGATCAACAGAACAATATAAATGCAAATATGCAATGGCTTGATGTGCATCAATCATCAATGCATCATATATAAATCATATGGCTTGCATGGCCATGCCGAAGCAAGGCTTGTTCATAATATATATAAAAAAAGGACCATAAACAGCACAAGGATACTGGAAATAGTAGGGCCCTGTCTCAATTGACATCCGTGAAGCTTCATGATGCCCTTTTGACAAGTTCTTGAAAAGAAGTTTAGCTTGCTGCTTGTAGAAATCAGCATCCTTCTGATCTCGCCCATCATCCAACCCTTCTGCCAGTGGAAGGCCATCAGTGACACGAGCTATCATTGTCAGCTTCACCATTGTGCCAAGAAGGCCAGAACCACTAGAAAGTATAGTAAAAAAACCTACAGAACTGCAATGAAAAACAGAAAATGGGTGCTCAGAATCAGTTCCAAATAAATTGGTTGTTTATGCTGCTACATATCACATGTCAACTTTTTTTACTAATATCGTGTCATCAGACAAAATAACAACAGATAAAAAAATATCAAACCAAGAAAAAAAGCTATCCGCGTGATTTACAAGATATGCTACAGTCATTGAGTAATATGTGTTTGTTGCAAAACACCATACCTATAATCCTAAGTGCTCCCAGATTCATAAACAGTACTGCCTATTCCATAGCAACAAAACATAACACAGGTAACAATGCAAACACAAGAAATACCCACTGTTTGAACCTAAACCCTTCTACCACAGAATGTCCCTGTAAAATATACTGATATACCTAAAAACTGCACAAATGCAACCTATATATGTAGTGCTCAGAAGACTCAGCAATACCACCTAAATATTTCTCACTGCAGAGACCAAATGTCTTCCAAGATAACATCAATCTAATGCAATCGCAGACCCACCGATTCCCTTTTTCCCCCACTTAGTACCCAAAACAGTTCATTCCCAGATCATACATTGACTTATGACAAACACAGCAGTATGATCCATAATCCTCCGAGCTAAGAGATTCACACTGTGTACGTAATCAAATCTATCCAATACTGATGGATGCAATTTACCTAACATTAATCATACTGCGATCGGGATCTATGCACATCCCCTGTCAACCTCTCTAGCAATGCAGAGAAGGGAGGGATTGATCCATAGCCCATCAGCTCTAAGGACTCAGTGGCGGATCGAGCATAGGACATGCGTGTGCATACGTATAACCGATAACTTTATGCAAGAAATCGCAGTTAGCGTGTATAACGCATATGCATGTAATCGGGTCAGATCCGGATCCGGATACAAATTGCTTACGTTAGGGTTTGAGGTGCACGGTTTCGCACTGCAGCAAGGGAAGAGAAGGACAGGGAAGGGCATACCAGGTGGATGCTCGTCGCCGTCGAATGGCCCGACGAAGAGGGCGGCTGCTCGCCCAGCCGTCGCCGCAGCCCGCAGGACAGATGCTACGAGAGAGCGAGAGGGAGGTAAACGGGAGGGGAGGGGGAGGTGAACGGGAACGATGAGATCTATGTCGGTTGGCGACTCCAGCAGACAGCAGGAGATCGGCCGGCCCATACAGGCCCAGCAGGAACCAATGGAGAAGCCCAGCTCGTGGGAAAGAATCAACCAATTTTCTTTCTTTCTTTTTTTCGTGCAATCTCTGTACTTGGAGTAGTTTATATTATACTCCTCGATTTCATTTATATATAATGTGTTTTAGCTTTCTAAATACATAGATTTTATTATACATTTGATTTACACTATATCTAGATACATGATAATATCAATTTATCTAGAAAAGTCAAAACGTCTTCGAATTTAAAATGGAGGATTTCTTCCAACATTTTTTTTGCAAATCACAATGTTCACACATATGTATAGAATCACCTTTACGAACATACGCATGTATACCCTCTATCCATAGGCACCTCAAAAATACTAAGCCGGTAGATCTTGAGATTGACGAAGTTAACACATGACATTCGTACACGTTTTCTACCACCGAAAAGAATGATGTCATTAATTTATGGAA